ATTTGTGCAAAACCTAGTGGGAAGCAGCTATGCACAGAAGTGAGGAGGAGGTGATCCAAAGCCCCCAGGAAACACTGCAACCATTCCCAGAGCACTTAGTGGTAAGCCCTTCCTCCTCCCAGTTGCTATCAGTTCTAAGGACATTCAATTATTCTTGTAAAGTATTATAAAGTATTATAAGTATTAAATTTCAATAGAAGCATAATTAAAATCTGGTAACACATCTGCTGATTAATAAGAGTGCCTTTGCAATTGTGCCAAGTCTGTGCCTTCATACTGCCATGTTTCAAAGCAGAGTGAAAGCAGAATCGTGCAATTGCCTTCAAATGACTTTTTCTCATTTATTTCTAGTGACAAGTATATTCATAATAGCCAGCTGATGAGATTCAATCAAATCTAGGAGGCACTAAATTGACAGTACCAGAGATGTAAGGCTTCATTTTAACAACTAAGATAAAAATAAAACATCACCAAAGTATGGATGATTTCGCTTACCATTGTGGCAACTTTAAGGAGGAAATATTGTATCTATTAATGAGAGAATTATACTACCTGCATCTAATTTACTCCTTAGCCTTTCTAAACCATATAGTGAAGGGGAATGTCAGCTAGCAGCAGTAAGTTCTGGCCGGATATCTGTGGAAGAATTAATATCTATCCACTCTGTGTAGAGATGGCAACGCTACTCTCTTCAAGCACACCCCGTATAGCTGTTGATACAGGAAAAAAAATAAAAAAGTTGTTCCTGCTGCAGAACTGGTACTAAAAAAGCTTCTGTTTAAAGTAAACATGTTGAGATACTTTCGAGTGAAATGAACAACAGGTCTTGTCGGTGTTGTCAGCTCTTCAAGAAGAAATCTCCAGCTCACTAGACACATGAGCAGCAGTAGACAGGAAAGAGTTGGCAGGAGCTAAGGAAAAGCAAGTGATCTAGCATCTGTGAAGTGAGAAGAAAAAGGCATTCCCTCCCCTTTCCTGTCACCCCTCCTTCAGTGGATTCGTTGCAGCCCTGGATGGGCTCCAGGCAGCAAAGGGCAGCCTGGGTTGGGGCTGAAGCTTTGAACCCTGCTGAGCTCGACGGCTGCCAAGACCGAAGCTGCTGTGAGTGCTCAGGGAGCCCCACAGCTCGCCCTGCCCCGCTCCTCTTCGGGTAGACACGTACTCTGAACCACCACAGGACACCCATGACCTCAGCTGGGGGGTCAGCTATTTTGATTGCTTTTTCTCTTTTGTAAAAAAAGCTGTGGAAGAAAGCTGTGCATGTCACCCTCTGGTGCAAAGTTAAAGCATCACACAAAATCTGAAACACCAAAGCCAAGCTACCAAGCTTCAGGATGATCATGTGCCCAACCTTGCTCATTCTCCTACTATTTATTCTCGTACTTAAAAAACCTTCTAGATGCTTGATCATTCATATTCATAAACCAAATTAAACCAAACCCCAGATACTGGCTCAACAGCACTTTCACAAACAAGAAATGCTGATGACAAACAGTAGACTTGATCACTAGGGACAAATGATGAAAAAACATTATAGAAGTAAGTTCTTTATACTGTGATGTTGTTGTATTTTGGGAAATTAAAATTAAAAACCTTTAGTATAATTGCTGGCTTCTCTGTAAATCAGCAATTTCCTTAGTGTAATTTGACAAAACCTCCGTATTTCTGTCCAGGTCGCGATATTAAAAAATAAATAAGAAGTTTTCAGTATTAAATGATGAGGTACAAATATAACACTTTGTTTTCTAAAGCATCTTAAAAATTACATCACTCAGTAAAATTTTTCTTATTATATTTCGTTATGAACTTCTTTCCATGGAAATTGAACACCTCCTATTTTATGAAACTGATAGGTTTTATATGGCCTTAATCAATAACACTTAACATTGCTTGTCTCCAGAGCCACCCTCTACAAACCTTTCATCTGGAAACAATTTTGAAAATCAATAAAAGCAAAGGTTTCTATCAATTACAGGACTTATAAAAGGGGAATTTAATATGCTGCTTGAGCCTTCCCAATGGCTAATGTGTCAAATATCTTCAGTAAACCCAGGACATCTTAAGTTTAAGGGAGGTAGTACAGGAGAGACTTCCACTAACCTACCACTACTGCTGCTGAACACAGTAGCACACTCTGACTGTAACCTCTGCTCCATGCCATTTATAAACATCATTAAACTTCATCCAGGGCTCCTTCTGTGGTTGCTTTTTGGATAAAAAGATCTAGTCAATGAGCCTGTTTTTCATCAAAGCCATTCTCTGAGGAGGAAGAACTCCAGTGGATAGACACGCAACCAAGTCTACCCACCCTCTTCAGATTTGTCTCTTCCCTTTTTTTTTTTTTTTCTTCTTCTCTTCTCTTAAGTATTCTGCAACCTTCATTAGAAGGTCTGGTGTCAGGAAACTCTGGAAGGAAACTTCCTTCACATTCATCTCCTCCTACAAGCTGCTCTACAGATATGTCTTTGAATGTAGTGGCACCATGAATGAAATGCATTACCATGACCTCAGGATCAGCTTTTAAAAACCATGGGAATTAACTGAGTTTTTCATGGTTTAGTCAGAAGAGAGATAATCTATGCTTAACACACCTATAGTGTGACATACTAAAAGCAGGAAAGTCTTACCTTACAAGATCCAGAGGCTGGTATTTATACCACACTCCCCAGGAAGCCCAGCACTCATAGAGCAGGTGTCTGTGGTTCTCTGCCCCATGTGTTCTTATTGAATTCTTACTTCTGTAACTTCCCTAAAATACAAATCTGAACATTAATGAACAACAGCACCAAAACAGAATATCCAAGAAATCTCTCTCAATAGCAGTATGGATAACACAATTTCTACAAACTCCATACTTGTGCTCCAAAAGCTAAATATGACATTAAAAGAACAATTTCCTCTGACTTCGGCAAAATTTGAGATTATTCTTCATAAAAACAGTTGTGGTAAGTAGCGCTGAAGTCAAAGGCTGTAAACAGGAGAATCTCAAAGAGGAAATCACAGCATATTTTTCCCTTCTGAAAACATAGTGATTTATTAAAGCCAAATATTTTTTTACAGAACAGATGCAGAACAACCCTCCTTACTCATCTCTTTTTGCAAGTGATTTTTTTTTTTTCCAAAAAAAATTACTAAATGAGAACAGGCTAGATTTATATTGGATATCAGGAAAAAATTCTTCACTATGAGGGTGGTGAAATACTGGAAAAGGTTGCCCTGAGAGGTGGTGGAGACTCCATCCCCACTGGCGTTCAAGGTCAGGCTTGATGGGGCTCTGAGTAACCTGATCTAGTTAAGAAGTCCCTGCTCACTGCAGAGGACCTTTAAAGGTCCCTTCCAGCCCAATACATTCTATGATTCTATGATGTTAGAGGTAGATGCAGAATGCAAAAGAGAGTAATAACAATAATAAGACAGAGAATAAGAGATTGCACAATTAAGAATTAATTTTGTGGGAAATGTCTGTTCAAAAAGAAAAAAATATAACTGAGAAAAGTACCTCATGAAGAGGAAATGCAGCTTCATAGGAGCCATTACTGAGCAATCGATTCAGACCTAAGAATTAAAAGTATCCAGTTATTTGCCAATACGACCAGAAAAACTACTAAGTAAAAAGCAAAACTCGTTTTCATAATAAGCTGGCTAAATGATGTTTGAAGCCCACTGACAGCAAAAGATACACGTAGAAAAAAATAATATTTTATAGATTTTGATGAACTAAGATATGATACAAGCAAAGACTTGTTCAAATATTAATCGTGCTCTATCATTTATCATGCCAGATGTTTAAAGGTTCATTCCCCAAATCCATCTTCAGTGTAACTTCAGTGGAATCAGGGACCTCACACCAGGACTGAAGTTTGATCTCATAAATTATGGTTTAAGGAAGCTATCTAGATGAAAAGCTGTATTTCTTGGGAGCTGAAAACTTCAGGGAAGATCTATACATTTTTGAACCACAGGCCAGTAAAACAAATGAAACTCTTTTAATTTCTGTATGATAACAACATTGCAAAATATGTTCCGTTTATGTCTTACAAAAGCTGCTGGACTAACAGACAGAACAGGAAGAAGACAGACTGCAGCAGTACAAGACCAAAAATATACCTGAACTTGAACAAAAAGGATTGCTATTTAACACACAAAAAAAGTAATCATACACTCCACTCAATCCTTGTCCCTCCTAAATGAGAAAACAAAGAGAAAAACGAACAATTGCTGAAATGTGGGCACTTATCACTTGGAAAATCACCAAAATAGCGACTGAAGAACTATCATGCATACAAAACTAGATACTTGCACTAATAACCCGAAGCCATTGACCGAGAGGCAAAGAATCCTGATTCCTTTCCTAATTCACAGGAGAATGATAGCAGGAAAAGTGCAGCGATGAGAAGTATTAATTCAACATAAACAGCATGTTCAGCGATTGTGTTAGTATCTGCTTGGCAGAGTAGGCTTTATTCTGAAGTCTCTGGCAGAAAAGCAAAACCTGTACAGCTGAACAGAGATCAATGCAAGGTTGTGTTCATGGTAGGTACAACACAAGTAGAGGGAGCTTGGGATCTTGAGGCAGACAGGGACTGCAGCGAGTGTGCTGAATGCAATGGCTGCACACGCTGCATGAATTCTTCCCTTTCTTCTATCCCCTCTGCTCACTGTCATTGCTCAGAGCTATTGTTGCCCTCATCCCAGGAGCAGAGGAAGAAACAAGGGAAGTTCTAGGATGTTTCTATACCTCCTGAGGAAAGATGGTGTTTAAAGCACAGGGAAATGAAGCAGGCTGCAGAGTTTAAGGGGATTGTCTCTCCGTTTGTGTTGTCCAAGCCGCTATGTGGCACAGGAGCACTATGTGCCCTGTATCACAAGACTGAAAGTGGCCACTTTTACACTTCACCCCTCCTCTGTCACTCCCTGTTCTCCTGGATCTGCACATGTGCCACTCCAAAGGTCCACTCCACCCCTTATTTGAAAGTGATGCCCACAGTTATGTATGCACTGAGGACATCATTGGTTAACTCCCTTTTGACTTACAGCAGCTACAGAAATGCAGAACCTTCCTTCTCCCTTAGGGATGGACATGTATCCAGGGAGAAGCCCTCCAGGCTGAGACGTGCAGCAGCACAAATCTTCCCATCCTTCCAAATACATTTTTATGAAGCAGTAAAAGCTTTTCTGCATGTGTCTGCCTGCTTCTCCAGGGTCAGTAATCTACATATTTTTTGCTTAAGTAAATCCCTTTCTTTGTGGAGGCAATAAATACCATGTGGTCACACATATCCCTGTGAAAGTAGCCTGATACTATAGAGAAATGATCAGGTCTTCCAGGTAAAGCTCCTACAACAGCAATGGGTAAGATGTAAATGGCTCAAAATTGAGGTGATTAAGAGTCTGTTATGAGCCAGGGCAGACTTCTTTCTTTGGTGGGACCTAGTGCCTATGTTTTAAAGCATATTGCTCAGCACTTACCAATTTTGTTTTTCCCTTCTTCGTATTTCACTCTTTGTAAGATATGGTGTACAATTCTACTTCTTGTAGCATTATTGAAGAAAGTGTCTTTGTTGTGTATGATGAAGCTAGATAAAAATACAAACAAAGGGAATCTCAGGAATGTTTAAAGCAAATATTGACTTCCATTACTTTCTACAGGACACTGAAAAACCATACTATGCGAGCAAGTGCGAGGAAGAATAAAGGACACCAGAGTAAGTGAGATGATTAACTGGATGAGATGATGTCAGTAACAGTATTCATCCCCCAGCAAACAACTACATGGGGAAATCTGGAGAAAGATCAAAGCATTCTTTATGATTAGCATCACTTTTAGGTAATTCACTGAAAACTACAAAATGCTTGCACAAAAAATTTGCAAAAGCGCAAGATTTGTAAGTGCAGCTGTAGAAATTCACATTTTATTTCTATTTCAGGCTTCTTCATTATGCTTTATCATCAGGAGTCAGATGGAAGGATTTACTTGGTAAACCACTCTTACTGAAAATCCAATACTGTGCTAGAAACAGAACATATTATATACTCCTATGTTTGGTCTTGGAAGCTAAAATAGAGTAGAAAATTAGCTTTCAGAAGTTACTTGCAGAGTTATGTACGAATGTATATTCGATGGTTTAGACAGAATTGTGATGAGTCCAGGAAATTTAAGAAAAAAAATAAGCCACAAAATATATTGCACTGATTAGATTGGCTGGCTTGACATATTTTATACAGATTTCTCAATTTCAATATACATAGTCAAGGAAAACAAGATATTTTAGCATATTATCATAATAACTGGAAAAATGCAAGCAACATGTTTAGAAATATTGTTTCAAATTGTCAACTAAATACTGCTAAAAAATTCTTACATATGCTTGAGGTGTGTAGGGCTTCAGGGTAGACTATGAAAGTAATTTAGACACTTGAATAAGGAGATAAGCAGATGGAATTTCTGATTAAGCAGTCCTGTGCATATATTGAGGAAACCAAATGTTTTCAAAAATGAGGTCTTTAGTAAAAGACTGAATAGAAAGGTTCATATTTTCTAAAACACTTTGGATAGGAGGTCAGATTGTTTTCTTCAGTGTTGATGAAGAGCTATGGAATTGAATAAACTAACAAACAAAAAGGTAAAATCATGGAGATGTCATAGAGAGACCAGCCCACAGGACTGCACACTAGACAAATGCAGCTTTAACAGAGATCATCTTAATAGGGAGCTTGGCATGGCCTTATGTCACCTCCTCTTCTGCACAACATGAAGCCCACTGATCAGTTTTCCCCTCAGGTCATTTCACCCAAATGAAAGGCCTCAGTTTCAGAATGAATCTTTACCCATTCAAAATCAGACACAGCTTTGCACCTCCACAGTCATTTGGAAAAACCAAGCAAGATGTCCAACTTCTGGACTTTGAGGACTCCATATTCTCCCTCTTTATTATCAAAATTCTCTGTCGAATTTTCTGTACAAGACTATCTGTAAGTTCCATATGTTCAGCTTCAAAGGCTGACAGTAAAAACATTCCCAGAGTAAAAGTATAAAAGACAAGTTGCTCCAAGAGCACCATAATTAATGAAACCTGGTTTTCTAGAGGTTACTGTCACATGTCTCCTTTCCTGCTCCTCCCTAGATACTCACAGGTCATTTCCGTGTCCACAAATGACTCAGTACTGTACTTCTGACATCCTTACTGTTCCCAAAGTTCTGCATGTGTTCTATAGTACCTATTGAAAGTAATTTGTTTTATGCTGATTGGCTGACTACCTTGTGCGTGCTGATTTAGCAATGGGCTGCTATAAAATAACATGTACGTTTGGTGTGTCCTGGCCACTGCCTTTTCTGTGTAGGCATAATTTTGGGCCACTGTTCCTTTTCAAGCTGTTGATACTCACAGAGTAAGACTGCGCTTTACTTTGAGACAGATACACCTGTATCAAATTTATTTGAAAGTAGTCAGTATGTAAAATAAGTATTATTATTATTATTATGGGAGGATTTTGACAAAAAGGAAATACTGTCATCACATAAGTCTTAAGGAAATTAGATTCAAAACCAACCTAAACTCTGAAGCAGATAGAACAGTATTATTTCCAGCTGAAGCTGGAGCTCTGTATTAGGCTGAGAAAAATTAAAGACAGTAGTAAACCAGAAGTGAACAGTTAGTGTTTTCCACGCTTTGTTTCATTTTCTTTTAATGTCTGACTTTTTTTCTCCAAGATCTCACCATCCAGACAGCACTGAACATCAAGGAACTGTGAAGATAACTTATGAAATCAAAACAGCACAGTACTTTTCATTCTGACTTAGCTATGAGTTCCTGTGAGATTCAACTGAGAATTGAATCCCCTTATCTGGAAAACTAGCAACATTAATCCAGGTAAAACTGATAATGTTAATCTATTCTCCTTGTGATATAAGTTTATTTTGCCCACCTGTTATCATGACTATGTCATACCGCAGCTGCAGGTAGTTATTTCAACAACACTGGACAAGTAGGTTAATAGATTTTCTGCATTTAGACACTTCTATTTTAAAAAGTCATGAATGAACAAAAAAAGCAAAATAACCATTAAGCAACCTTAAAAAAATAAGAACCACTTGTTCAAACACTTCAGTCATTTGCATTCATTTGAAAACTTAGCAACTGTGTTGCTATAGCTTTTAATCTCCATGGCTGCACAGGAACAACCAGATGTGTCTGTGAAACAAATGTCAACACCTCAGTAAAATAACTACCATGAAGGACTCGACCTATTCCAGAACTAGTTAAAACACTCATCAAACATAAGTGAGTATTAGAGCTGCAGAGGATATGCCTTGCCCATCCTTTCGCCAGTAAAAGGCATCTGAGGGCAAGAAGGGGAGAGAAGAAGGAGAATATGTCCTTGAATGTTATCCAGTATTACTCATGGAGGCATGGATGCAGAAGGGAGGCTAGAGTTCACCAAAGGTGAAAAAGCAGTACAAGAATGAGTCCTCCAGATGTCCTGGACTATCCCTAATATCATTGTTTTGGGAAGGAATTACATGTGGTAAAGGTTAAAAATAACCCTTACCTGGTTTTGAATATGAAAATCCCATATCTCTTTTTCTTTTGTTTAACTTAAATACTCAAGTCATTTCTGTGAAATTGTCTGTGAAGTAGCCCCAGAAAGGGCAATATCACCATAGCTGAGGGGGCAGGGAGCTCTGGCACAGGAGACAGAAATAGGCAGACATGAGTGGGAGGCATTGAAAGGTTGAGAATGTCTCAAGTGTTACAACATCCCAGTTAGAGTTTGACATAAAATAGGGCAAAGGTAGAGAGGTTTCAACTTATCCCCTTCTACCGCTAACTTTCTCTCCCACACTTTATGGGTATTTCTTGCTCCAAAATTTTTGTGCTCCAAGGTGTGTTCTGAAAGTGGGTGATAAATCGATATTCACAGCATTGGCATCGATGCTATTTAATGGTACACAGAAGCGAATGAGGAATTCAGAGGAGAAAGACTTTCTCAGTCTCTGGAGAATCTCACCTTTCAAATTTCAGTTCACAGGGGCCAGAGCTGAAAACATTTCCATACTAGGTGGAGATAAACATTCATCAGATATTACTGAGCTATAAACTGCATAAGGCAGAGGCTTTATAGATAACTTTTTAACTCTTGTGGCTTTCAGATGGAACAGTTTCCTCAGTTGTTCTGTTTCTGCTGCCCTTGTTAGAATTCCAATATGCACAAGGGTTTGAATATTCATAAGAGCAATACAGCTTGTTTTCAGGCTCAGTATGGGTTTAGACTTTATTTAGGAGACAGCTCGTTGAAGGTTTTGATCACTTTGTGACCTCATTTTTAAGATAAAAAGTACGTAGGATTAATACACTATTATTTTTATTGTCCGAGAAGTTAATGTATAGGTAAGTAATAAAGCCAGTGATTTGTTCCACAACAGTTACAACCGTTAGCCTGGTCCTGTAAGACTTATTTGTGTGAGCTGTCCTTACACAAAAAGAAAATCCCAATGAAGATAATGAGAGCACTTCAGTCAGGAAAGGTTTCAGAGTTGATCCTTAATTAAAGGCCCTTTAAAAAAATGACATTGTAGAAATATTGCTCTTACATTAGTACTGTGACACGAAGAGTCGGTGAAGGTTAATTGCTTTGAAATTATATTTGTAGCTTTCTTAATTAGACTTTGAACTGGAGATTTCAAACTATCTTTCATGGATAACAAAGCACAGCAAAACCAACTGTTTTATAAAGAAGGCCCTTAAATTAATGTGAATTTGACCAAGAACAAGCTGCCAATGAATTCCTGTTCATATATTCTCTTTGGTAGTATTGCAGGTTGTACAGACCCTCGAGGGGTAAATTCAGCACTTGAAAGTTTGTCTAACAACCATTTGAAATAAAATGGTTTTACCTTGCAATTTATTTCAGAGAAGTAAAAGGCAGAAAAAGGTTATTTTCTGTTACATTGGTAAGATATATAAGCTGAAAGCTGAACACTCATGGTCTGGTTACAAAGCTACAAAATGAGGATGCAAGTACACATGTATCAATGTGCATTTTTTCTCCGTGGGACCCTCAGACAGTGAAGCATTTGATGTCTGACTCTCACCATACCAAAAGGTATGTTGCAGGCAAATGCTTAACTGCTGGAAGCGGTGTCAACTAAAGCACAGATGCTGTCAGAAGTAGTAATCACACTATGAGAAGTGTATTCTTTAGTACATGAAAAATGCACAAGCCTTTGCACACCCAGGTTAACCAATGGTGGCAGCTAGCTGTTGCTGGCTGAAGCAATCACAGGTTTTTACCTCATTTAACATCAGAAAAAGAAAATCATCAGCTATAGTAGCAGCAACGAGATGAGACTGCAGTATTCCAGTGAGAGTATTATCACACATCCCTGTAGTTTATTTGTTTGAAAATGGTTATATTATCATCACTTTCTGTTTATTTTCATTTTGCCTGACTTTTAAGGCTGCAGCTGACCTTTTTGTTCATCTAAAAAGGTGTTTATTAATGGCTATCAGGGATTTTTCACATCATGCGCCTAAACCAGGAACCCCTTGGGATGAAGAATGTATTAGTGGTTTTA